TTACATAGATTATAAATGTAATTAATTAATTTTTCATTCAATAATTATTGTAATTTTCTAATATATCTTTTATATGCCTTCTTATTTATTATATTTTGACAGTCCATACATTATTATTCTTTTTCTTTTTAATACGATTATAATTGAGAGAAATAGTCACTAGCTAATGTCATCTTAAACTGACATAAAAGATTTTTTTTCTTCAAAAGTGACAGACAAAAAAAGTAGAATAAGTATAAAATTTTTACATTCGAATTTGATGCTTGTATATGTACTTGAAAAATCAGAAATTGTTTTCTGCATAATTGTAAAAATATTTATTTAATCATGAAAGAGAAAAGAAAAAACGTGGAATAAGACAAATAATGTGACAGAAGATAAACTAAAAAAATATATCTTGACACCTTGTAAGCACTATCTCCCAGCTCACCACAACTAGGTAGTGAGGAATATAACTGAAAACAGATACCCTATACATTATATATAAAATGTCTGCTTTGCAATCTAATTAGTTTGAAGTAATTATGGTTGTCTCTTGTACAGGCACTACTGATAAATCAGCATATTACGTCACCCCTTTTACGTCGGAAATACGAAAATCCGACGTAAAAAAAACGTGATGGCATTTTTGTAATTTTCGCGAACTTTTTTACGTTGGACTTGGTAGGATTTGACGTAAAAAATCAAATCTACGTCGGAGGTATGTTGTGTCCGACGTAGATTTGACATTTTACGGACGTAAAAAATGACGCAAATTTGAATAAGAGAGCGCGAGGCACACCGCGCGCATTCACTCTTCACTACTTTTCGTTTTTTTCTCTGTAAACCCTCTCCCTCTCCTTTGTTACCGAATCATTTTTTTGTCTTTTGCAGAGGGATGAACTTTTTGTTACTCATTCGCACATTGTTGCTGCTCCTCAGGTATGAATCAAGGTTTTATTAGCACTTTTCTACTTCGCATTGCTACTGTGGCTATTTGCTTGGAGAACGTTCTGCTTGCATTCTTATTTTTTTACTACTTTTTTACGTCGGATTTCGTAATGTCTGACGTAAATTTACGTTAGTTTTGCATGTCCGACGTAAAATTTACGTCTCCCACTTTTACGTTGGTATGTTTTCTGACGTAAAAAGCTCAAAATATCCGACGTAATACACTTCTTTTGTACTAGTGAGGAAACAATCTAGTAGCTTAGTCAACCTCAAACCTCTAATTTGTTTCAAAGTATATACCCAGCTAGCTGCATTGTCTACATCCACAAAATATGAATATTTCATTAGTTTTTGTACAAGTATCCGTGTTAAAGAGGAATGATCGATGGAAATACTATCTGCATTCTAGCATTTTTTTTTTCTAGCACTATTAATCAAACATAGTTTTATATATTGTTAATAATGATTTTATGAAGAATGGTTCCTTAAGCTAAATTAATGAAGAATAGGTCTTGCCGTATTGGAACGGCATATTCCTCACATTTTTATAACCTAGTCATGGTAAAGGCTTGAAAATATACAAGGGTCAACTGACTTCAACCATTTAGGTAGCTATATATACTATTTAGGTTGGAAAATAAAAAATTGAATCAATTTGTTGCCTCAGTCAGAGTGAGCTTAAGTCCCTATTTGCCTTCACTTCACGTCAACTTCGACGTGAATCAGTTTATAATAATAATAATAATAATTTGACGTGAATGGTAGAAACAACTGTTAATTACTTTTGATAGGTTATCACATGAAAACGTAAGAATCATGGATGCAATACCAAACACGCACTAAGACGATTTTCAGATTTTGTAAGTACTACTGTAAGCATCAATTCAATGTTGCAAGAACTAATCGACTATAGACAAAGGCCAATTTAACTTCGTTGGATCTCTATAACTTATTATACCAAATTATGAACGCAACGTTTAGTACGTAGAAGAACGTGTGTACCTTTTGATTGACAAATAACTATCTTTCTCAAATATGTATTAATTAATATATGTTAATAACATTTCTCTTTTGATAATATCAGTTGTTCTTCAATTCCAATCCTACATGTTCCTTCCTTGGTGGGTCAATAAGATGGAAGATGATGAGGTTGTCTTGAGTGTTAAAGGAGAGTATGGGTTTATTATTAGCAATCTGATATAAATAATAACAATTTATATATTTTAATCAAATTATTTAAAATTCTAATTCTAACTTAAAATGTGATATAAATTATATTGGAAGAAGAATGCCACTTTATATGATCATGATTTTCAATAAAAATTAGTCACTTTTAATAGTAGATACTTTGCTTGAATAATATAATTAAAAAAAGTACCAATAAAGATTTTAACACACTAATGTTAAATTTTTTATTGAAATTATAAAGAGGAGTACGTGTGTCTTGATGTTTACAAAGTATTTATATATATCTCTATATTAATATGATATTATTTATTTTAAAATTAAACTTTCATGAGTTTATTTTTTTATCATTACATAAAAAATATCATATCAATGAAATATATGTGTAATTTATATATATTTTATAATAATATAAGATTGTTGAGCACTGAGGGGTTACCACATATATACACATGTTTTCACATTGGTGAGATATTGTCCGCCTTCACGGTTTTGTTTTTAGATATCACTCAAAAGGCCTCTCAACCAATAGAGACAAGTATGTGTATATAAAACTCATGTCCATCCTCTTGTTTGAACGATGTGAGACTTTGCTTGCATCCCAACAAAGATTTTATTTGTATCGTAATAAGATAAATTGGTTCAGTGTTTAATTTTTTTTTTGAGAATGATACTCATGTAACTCATCTCAACATGATACATTTCTGGAAAAAAAAATATTAAAATTTATTCATTAAGTACAAAAGCATTAGAGTTATTCGAAAAAAAAGAGGCATGACAGCAGAAAAACAAAATCCAGAACAAGAATCTCACAAGTTTGTTGATTGTTTGTGTATGTTGAAAAAGTCAAGAGAAAAAGCAACAAAATTATCATTTTGAAGATATAAATTAAGTTGATGAGTTACGCCGTCCACCGAACACGCGCAAATAGCCGTTGAGGAAATCCAACTCTATAAACTATTAATTAAATATTAAATATAATAATACCGCTCTCATTTTTTGGCGGGGTCCATCCTCCAACGCTTAGATCCGTCATCAACGGTAACACGCCAACTCATCTAACCTTTTAAATTTGAGGTTTAATTTTTTTTTTAATTTAAGTAAGTTATATCAAATTTGTTTCTAAAATTTTTAAACTAATTAATAAATTTAGTTCTTTTACCAAGCCTTTTGTATATTAATTTATGATAAAATTGGAACGTGAAATAATTAATAATTAATTTTTTTTATGAGAGTCAAAGAGCCTAGTTCAAATGTAGTACCTTGATCTCTTTTGTTTGTATGATTTGGCGTTAACGAACCTTATTCATGGACAGCGCACTCCAGTTGAAATCCGAAGAACCAAATAGAATATAGCGCGATTAAAGCAATGATTTATACCAACGCGTCTTTGAAAAAAAATAAAATAGAAACAAGTTGCATCAATCGCAATGATATAATTAATTCAATTTGCAAGTTTGCAACCATTCACCTAGCAAATACGTGTATGGGTGAAAGTGCTGTTGTTACTTGCACATATTTTTGTAATATTTTCGATAATAAGATAAGCCACTGTTTGTTTATGATATAATAACATAGTTGTGCCAACTTCTATGATAAAAAAAAAAAATACATTTTCAAATCAATTTTTTCATAATTTTTTTTTCTACGATGAGCTAATTAACTCCATTTAATTCTTAATAAAACAGGCCATGAGAGAAATATATTTTAAACAAATAATAATATAAAATTTAACTCATTTTTTCGATAATTAAGTTTTTTTCTCTCCAATTTTTGTTACTTATTAATATAATAAAACTATGGAAAATAAAATGCAAAACAATTTTAATATAACTCGTGATTATTTGTGCTACATTTATTTAAGCTGATCAAGACACATATATTCGGACAAGGGCTGAAAACTAATATCAAAGGGTCCGTTTAATTTGTAAATTATTAATTATGGTACTGTACAAAGACAAATGTCATTATTTTATGTTTAATCTACAAAAAGATTGAGACATGATAAATAAGATGAGGAGAAATGGGACAAAAATCTTATTTTTTTTACTATATAAATTGTGTGACAACTTTTTTTTGTTGTTAAAGGCAAAAAATACTGATTATTATTATTGTTGTACCAACAGTACTACTTAGTTGTTATTATCATATTGTCTGTTTATTATCACTTGTTTGTCTTATCATTTACCTTAATGTTTATTAAATGGACTCTTAAGTTGTCTAAAATTTATTTAAGGACTTAATATTTTCTAACAAATGTTATTTTATATATCATCATTGAATAACATGATTAGTATAACATTATTTATGCTATTTTTTTTATTGAGAGGCAAATTAATTTCGCAAGTGTTGAAATTCATTTAACATCTCAATTTTCATAATAATTTTTTTTTATTTCATATAAGAAGTTGAGAATGAAGCTTTTAAGTTATTTATCATTTTTTTTAATATAATTATGTTGTTATTGATGTAAATTATTCACCAATTTTATTATTGACTATTTTCTATTAAGAAATCTGACTCATCATTTTCTATTTATCTTATATGTTTGTACAAATTGATCATCTAATATCACATTATGTAACCAAAAATTGTTAAAATAAGTAGTTAAATATTTGTGTTCTATAATCAAATTAACACTGATAAATTGGGGTATCTATCTCTTACCGTTGAGTAACGGAACATTAATTAAGAAATGAGTATATATGAAGAAAGAAAAGAAAAATGTAATAAAGCTAAAAAAATGATGATGAACCTAAAGTCAAAAGGCAGTGTGTGCATATTAAATAATGTGTAGCCTGGTGTGACACAACAACACCTGTCCTGACAACACAAAAGACACACACATGATGTATGTTGTCCTATATATTATATATATATATACATAGGATATGGTAACAGGTTCCTTATTTAGTGGTTGGAGGCATACCAAAAAAAAGCAAGAAGCCGTAGAATTTGGGTGTTAATATTAATTGATGATACATAGCTCTTGAGAATAGAATCGGCAAGCCTAGCTACTAGCTAGCTATTCCTGGCATTGGATCGGTCCCTCCCTCCCATGGATCCATCGGAGGTGAAGCACGTGTTCGAGATGCTGGACCGGAACGGCGACGGGAGAATAACGGTGAAGGAGCTGAGCGAGTCGCTGGAGAATCTGGGGATGGTGATCCCGGAGGAGGAGCTGGAGCAGATGATGGACGCCAACGGCGACGGCTGCGTGGACATGGCGGAGTTCGGGGAGCTGTACGAGTCGATCATGGAGGAGCGTGACGAGGAGGAGGACATGCGGGAGGCCTTCAACGTCTTCGACCAGAACCGCGACGGCTTCATCAGCGTGGAGGAGCTCCGCGCGGTGCTCTCCTCTCTGGGCTTCAAACAGGCCACCACCATCCAGGACTGCAAGAACATGATCACCAAGGTGGACGTTGATGGAGATGGGAGGGTTAATTATAAAGAGTTCAGACAAATGATGAAGGGAGGGATAGGACTACTAGGACAAGGACAAGGACAAGGACAACTCTCTTCTCTTGCTTAATTCATTCATTAAATTACCATCTTTCTTGTGTTTGCCTATTATATATATATGCCTCCATACTCCATGCATGCATGCAAACCTTCTTTAATTTCCCATCTCAACCCTAGCTAGCTTCCATTTTTTATTCACATGCATCTTCTAAATAGGTTAAGACACACTAATCTGCCTTTCCAACATATATATGCTACACAATTTCCGATCCATCTCACGCCAATTAAGCTGTTAATTTGTTGGTTTTTTAATTAATAAAGATACTCTTTAATTTGATGATGATAAAATAAAAGTTAGCATAATATATAAGTCAGGAATCAATCAACTTAATATACTACTAATTTAAGAAATTAAACATAGTTAATTAAAGGATGTAGAGAACTCATGTGTAAAGGAATGAAACTAAGAATTTGAGAGTCAAAATTACTAGAGTAGTCACTTTTATTTATCATCTCGTCGATATTATGTAAAAATTTGTACAAAAAAGATGTTTTAAAATAAATAAAAATAAAATAGAAGATAAAATAAATAAGATTGAATAATAATTGAGCGATATTTAGATAGTTATAAATAAAAAGGTAAAATGAGATATACTATAAATATAGAAATTATAAGAATAAAATATGTTTTAAAATTATGCATGCTAAAATGACATATCTCCTTTATTAATAATTAATTGGATAAAAGATATTCTATACTTCGTGAAAATAAGAGAAAGTGATCATTTTTTATCATGGTAATTTTTATGGTTTTAAAATTCATGATAGTTTTTGGCAACTTTTTTAATGGTTATTAAGGGTAAAATAAGTATAAAAATTGTGAACACTAAGTAGAGACAATCAATTTATTATTAGTATAGATATAAATATATCGAGTAAAAATTCAACAAAGTTTGATGCTAAGATAACTTAATGCTTGTTTAAATGCATGTTGAAAATTATCCAAAGTCACATTGAAATACCTGATTTTAGGTAAACATTCCATATGTTTTAAGTGAAGGTACTTAATATGGGTCCAAATTTGATTTTAAACTGAAACAACTTTAAGAAACTTTAGTATTTGATCAAAGTTTTTATACCAAATTTTATTACTACTAGCTTGTTTTTATATAAAACAAAAAAAAAAGCTTGTTTCTATAATAACAATATCCAAACATGAAACCCTAAACCCAAACACATTTACTTGTACTTAAGATGTTCACTTTTCAATTTTGATTTGATAAGAAGCTAAAATTACACTATTGTAAAATAACTTAAAATTACTATTAGAGTTAAGAAGAGGATAAAATATACAATAAAAATAACATTCAAATTTTTTATATCCTCAAAGACTAATATATATACATCTTTATAACTTAAACTATTATGGATGATGTTACTAGCGTCATCATCTTATTTTCAAAAATATAATTAAATAATATTAAATTTAAATACAATAATATTATAAGATCATCTTATATAGTTTTTATGTCATTTAATTTTCTTTTAGGTCTATAACCCATCCAAACATAATTCTAGAAGCCCCGTATCCTTTCCTTTATAAAGCTGATTTTAAGATTCTTCTTCTTTAACTTTTAATGCTATAAACAATTAAAAATAAAACAAACCTTACCTATAAAAATTATTTTTGCGAGTTAATGACTAAGAAAATTTTATTAGCACGTACATTTGAAATGTATTTATGGAGTTATTGGTACCCACCTAATTAAATTCTACAAGAGGTTTTTTTCTTTTAATTTTTAAAATTTCTAATGATGTGTCATTTCATTATTGTTTGTGTCAACTTATTTTCATTTTTTTCATGCATATCATCAAGGATTGAATCGTAGCTAATATGTTTAAATAAAAAACTAAATTATTTTCGATAAACAAGGACCCAAACATTACGTGAAAATATAGATCTAGAAATGAAATGAATCAATTCAAAATTACAAGAGAAAAACTTACGAGTCTCATAGTTATTAGCCAAAATAAAATAAGATGAACAATATTATTGTATAAATTTTTTTTTTTTGTATTCATTATTAATTTTTTATTGTAATCTATAAACTCAAAATACTCACAAATCTCTTTTCTTTTTCAATAATTATTGTTAGTAATTTCCCCTTTATAACAAAAACATATTTTTTAAAAGGAAAATATAACAATTTTATTATTAATATTTCTTATTAAAACTCTCTCTCTCTCTCTCTTTCTATATATATATATATATATATATATATATAAGTTATATACAAATGCAAACATATTTATAAAGGTCATATTCTTAAAACAAAAAATGATATAAATTAAAACAATATATCTCAATATAAAATTATTTGAATATATATCAATATTCATAACTATATTATTATATTTTTAAATATTTGTATACGCATATGTACTTATATAATATAAAAATTTGTAAAATGAAAACACTCGTATAAGGCCCAAGTTATTATACTAGTTTTTATCTTAAAAATAACTTTTTTTCCTTCATTAATTAAACTAGTGATTTAATTTTTTTTAAATAATTAAATAAGAATGAGATTAAACACTCCCACTTACTAGACATATGTGGGCATAGCATAGTCTCCATTTTCGGCATTAAACGGAAGAAACGAGGGAAGGCTAAAATGTTATTACATGCATATTGCAGCAAAGGAATCATATAATAATTAAAGTCAACGAAAAGAGTAAATCCATTGATGGAAGGAGAAGGAAATATCAAATATGAATATCCAGCCACAGCATTCTCAACAGTCTCACTCTGTACAAAAATAGACTACTCTATCAGCACCTGTTATGAGTTATTGCATTGTTGGGACGACAAAAATGGACTCAAAAGACCTATACATTTACTTAACTAGTTTCTTCTACCAACTAAATATCATACTGAACCTGTCAAAGTCGACTCTGTTGTTCTTTGCTTTCCATCTCCTTCACACTTTCTACTATGTGCTGTATTTTCTTTGAAAGACTCTCATTATGCTCTTCAATGTGCTCAAATATCAATTCAAGATGTCTTTTATAGGTCGCAGATCGCTTTTTCTCAATTACCAACTGCTGAGATAGTTCCCGAATTTTTTCTTCTTCACTCTAAAAATACCATAAAAAAGAGCTAGTCAGGATAAAAAGGAACTGGAAAGGGGTGATGGCTAGAATATTTACTAATCACTCATGTTTCTCTTTACATACATGACACTTCATGAGTTGCATTACATTATGAGTAAAGGAATTTGTAAGCATAAGGGCAAGGGTAATGTGGCCTATTTGAGCTGGAAGGATGGTCTAATTTCAAACGATGTGAGGTAATGCAGAAGAGTCGTACAGCATGTCTGGATTCACATCAATTTTGGTTGGATATGAATCAATGGAAGCAACAATTAATTGCTTTTGCATAAGTTTTGATGTGATTCTATTTAATCATGGATCAAGGATGTGGAACCAAACATACACATAATCTACTCCCCTTCAGAAAAGCAACAACAGAAAAGAAAAATTCTCTGGATTATAGCTTACATTAAGGGGAAAAAAGATAGAACATTCATTCACAATAAAGTTGGAAAATATTATAAGTGTTAGATTCCATCTCAAAACCAATTGTCATTAAGTGAAGTTGTTCAACAAATATATAAAGTGTACTTCAACAATTGAGATAGGCGAATCACGAAGATGGGTTATAGTTTTTGATACTATGTTATATTTTATTTCAAAATCAATTGACATCAAGTCAAGTTACTCAACAAATATATCAGCTGCATCCAAAGAATTGAAGCAAGCTATGTGGGACTTCCTAACAAAAGGAACCAATATTATCCTGAAACTTCATTCTGAAATAACCTACAATTCTCTATAATAATTATCACAATATGAGCATCATGATCTGACCCAGATTCATTCATAACTGATCTATTAAGCAAAAGTAAAACTTAACATAATAAACAAACATAATAATATATCGAGTCATTCAATAGTGAAAGACAGAAACTGACCGGATATTGTTCATAATAGAAATCCCTTCTAACTTTACCAGGAGTTAAAGGATGTGTGTGTTCCTTTATAAACTTTGTAACAACCCATTTGCCAGAACTAACTCTCCTCACCATAATCATTGCCCTGCAACCAACCCTGGTCTCGGCCCTTTGCCTCACAATCTTTTCACGTTTGTCAGGCATTCTGAAACCCTCTTTGTTGCAAACAAGAGCGCGTCCAATAACAGTTCCATCACGCCTTGATCGTGAGAGTTTACTCACACGTATGATGAATCCAACATCTGTGGCATATGCATTATAAAATGCATGTGCTGCTGATTCCGACACAAACTCCTGACCCACATAGGGCTCTTCAACTGAAACAACTGATACTGTGGGAATTGCAGATGGGATAGTGATCCCTCCAGAGGAATCTTGAGTCACATTATCATGTTGATCTTGTTTGTAAATTGGTTCAACAGAACTTCCACCTTCTCTGTTGTCATTAGCTATGCTACTAACCTCACCTATAGCAGTAGTATTTACTACTGTCTCGCCAGTAATAGAGCCATCAATCCCAAACTCCACTGCAGCAACAAAAGAATCTGGTATAAGATTTTCAGCGCACAGGTGACATTCTAGTTCTACACAACAGTCGATGAAATTAATGAATAACACATTCATTGAAAATACAGCTAAGCAAAGAACAAGTTAATAAACATAATCCAAATTCCCATTCCTTCCATCTTCTTTAACTAACTATTGATAAGTTACTTCTAACTACGATGAACACAATATGGCTAACAAGAATTTCTTAAATTGAAACAAAGACCATAGCATTCACTAATAGAGAACAACCTTTAAATCACCGAGTATTTGTCAAATACACTCCTCCACAAGAACCAAAACAGATTAACCGCATTGAATGAAGAATTTCTGTTTTTCTGAAGATTACTACATTATAAAGCAATCAAACAATATATATATATATATATATATTCCAA